AAGGTTATTGAACAAAACGGGCAATATATCATTGATTGACCTTTGTTCTTTATATTAATAAATAACCTTCGAAAAACAGACAAAATCCGTCATGACTTTTCCAACAACCCAATAATTACCAAGGTTTTAATCTTGTTCTTTACAAGTCCGTAACCAGATGGTGAATCCGTGAGTAACTGACTGCTCACGGATCAGTGTAGATGTGTACTTCAGGTCATCTCTACTGCCACAAAGAGTGTGTGCAGCCAGATGTATTTTCCAACGTTTTGCCCACTGTAGGATTTTCTACCATTGTTTTTCGGGGCCACACTTCAGTGTGATTCCGATGTCAGCTACCATCCACTTCTAACTGGTGCTAGCATTCTGTGAAGACTTATTTATGATTCAGGCTTGTGCTTTGTCCTGTTCTATTAGCTGAGCAAGGGGAACTCTCCATGAGGCCATAGGTATGGACTGAGGAAGAGAGGTGGAGATGCAGTGGGAGCAAGTCCTGTTGGATTCTGAGTCACCTGCACATGATGTTTGCTGGTGCCTTAGGAGCCTGCTTGGCCTAGTTCAGATGTGTTGTTTCGATTTAAAAGTGGAAAGCTGCTGCGCATGCTCAGTTTTATTCTTCAGGGCTTCATATTATACTCAGTTTGTGATGGCCATTTCACATAACACAGCCTTTGGGAGTCCCATGGTCACGTGTTCAGTCTCTGCTGCAGGGTCTAGTAGCTAACCAGTAGTTGCTTTGTTGGTAGAAGAGGTCATGGCCTTATGACCTAAACCGCAGAATGTCATTCTGTTGGAGAAAACCAGAGAAGTCTATAAAGCATCTCTGTCTGCCATGGACATTTCCACTCCATTGGAAATGGATATGCTGGATCTTCAGGCCCAAGTGGCAGGGCAGCTTGATGACAACCTGGACGTGCTGTAGAACCCTTTCTTGCCTTGGACCCCTCTCAAAACTGAGAGCCTTGTAGGTTGCCCAGTAAGCAGTATGCCCAATTGTACACATTGCCTCCAGCATCCAAAGAAGCCCACCAAGTTTCATGCCTCTTTCTCCCACCCTTGGTGGGCAGCACAAAATGAAGCCCCTTTCACTGCGGGAGGCTATTTTTATATGTCTCAGACCACTGGACCTTTAGAAGCTTCACTGATGTGACAGGCCCCCAAACTTTAATGGGATTTAACTCTGATCCTCTGCTATCTGTGTGTTTTTGTTTGTTAACTCATTTAGAGAAGTTACTCTTCCCTGCTCACCAGATCTAGTAGTAAAATGTTAATGTCATATATCAGTGTCATTCTCTACGGGCTATCCTGCAATCAAGAGACTTTGGGACTTTGTTTTGACTGAGCAGGAGAATTGATACAGTTATTAGTTATTAGATGACTGTGAAGGGGTTCTGTCTTGAAGGCTTCTGGTTTTTTCTTCTCTGGTAAGAATTGGGGAAAAAAGCATTTGCTCGATAATTAGCTGCAACACCAGTTACCAAGAGCTGTGCTGATTTGCTGCAGTAAAAATTTTACATCTGCAAACATGGTTGTGATTGACAACTTTGTGATAATTCATCACTATTCTCAAAACCTACTTGACTTTTGCACTAGCCAAGTAATTCAGTTAAATGAAGATGTAGTGGGCATCTTTCAAATGTCTGGTGATACTAATCTCTGCAGTTCCCCAAAGGATGTCTAGTTGCTTTGGTTTACTATCTTGGAGAAGTGAAATTGGCGGACTAGTGGTGTTCACTTAGTCCTTCCATAGTAGTCCTCACTCATTGATCAGAGCATGATGAATAAGGGTATTTGCCAATTACTAAAATCTGTACTGTGTGTTCTGGAACTGGGGAAATAAACAGTAGTCCTACTCTGAGATAGACATGAGCCGTGACCCCCGTTATTACTTGACCTCCAAAGACTTCCAGTCTGATTAGTGGACTATGGTAATGTTTGGGGATCCCAGGGATTATTGTCAATTCAGATCCAAAGCTCCAGGAAAAGGGCAAACATTACTTCATCTGGGGGTATTGTAGATCTCAAGATTTTAAAAGAAAGATATATAAGGCTTTAACATGTTTGCAGGGCACGGGGAAAAAAAATTCCATAGAGAAGAGAGATGGTAATTATGAGAGAGGGTAGTTAATAGAGCAGGATTTCTGAGGACACTGCAGAGGATGGCGTATAGCGGACTAGTGAGAAGGTCCAGGAGGGAAAGGTAGGGACATGTAACAAGAAGTCAAGAGAATTGATAGTTGTCAGAAGAATGGTGGAAGTTAAGGGTCTTTGGTGAACAGAGAAGAAAGTCACCCTAGAGGTTCCAGGAGGGATAGTCATGAGAATCGAGGATAGCAGGAAACAGGAGAACTAAATGTGGTTGAACAGGTCTGGAGAGAAGTAATAAGGGGAAGAAGGATAGACACTGTGGACATTCAAGTTTAAAATGTCAGCCTCAGAGCAGTTCTGAGCAGCGATGAGGGGTCTTTCAGAGTGTGGTCTTAATTGCCATCCTGAAACGAAAGTGACGGTCGTAGGAATTGAAGTCAAGGACTTTTGAAGCAGTTTTACTGCATGGATCAGCTATGTCTCCAAGTCACAGTGATGGCAGAGATGGGTCAGAGAGGGACAGTATGAGCCTTCCGTGAATGTTGGGGAATTTGGGACGAATAGAGAGCATGGTCTACCTGTATGGCATGAACGCGAAGGCAGCGGAGTAGAGAAGAACAATAAAAACATGAAGTGCCAGCTATGATTTTAAGTGCTTTCCCTGGACTAATTGCTCAGTTGTCATACCAACACCAAAAGGGAGGTCGTGTCACTATCCTTGATTTACAGATGAGGAAACTTAGGCCCAGAGAGCTAGAGTAACTTAGCCCAGGATCATACACTTACCAAATGGTGCAGCTGGGATTTGAATGCAGGCAGCCTTGCTCCAGAACACACACGTGTAACAGTGACTCTCTACTGCCCTTGCTCATTTACGATATGCTATATAAAATCCTGTACGTGGTCTAGAAGCAGCAGCGGAATCTGCAAGGTCTCCTCTTTTCCCCTCCTCTAATTTATTTATAGTGAACGAAAAAGGAAGTAGCTTCTTGTCAAGAGGGATTCAAGAGACTTTTCATCTAAGACTAGAGAGCACGGGAGTTCTTGAAAAGGTTGAATGGCACAGGGGAGGTGCCGCTGAAATTAGGATAGGGGCTCTAAGACAATGGTCACCTGTGAAGTGGGGCGAGAGCAAGGAGCAAGATGGTAGCGGACCTGGGGGGTTTGCTGTTATGTCAGTTGCTAAGGATGGCGGGGATTGGAGGCCAGTCAGTGGGTCTGAATGTTGCAGGCAGGTATAGATTAGGACTCTAGGTGGTGTCAGAGAGCTGACGATGCTAGGAGACTGGGCTTTCCTGTCTTCATGAAACACACTCCATTCACTGTTTTATTATTGTTAACCTTAGTTTAGAAAGCCAAATCCTGTTCTTATGCCCCACCCATACAGCTAACTGTTGACAGAGCTTTCCATAATCTTTTCTAGTTCACTTGTGCCATTATCTTGGTTCTGCTTGCTGTCTTTCAGCTGATCTAAGCTCAATTTATGTAGATTGATCATTGCATTGCTGGTATGCTAATGAAGGGAATTTGGGTCTTCCTCCCCATGGTTGCTCACAGTTCACACCTTTAAACACAGGGACTTCATCAACAGTATTTTTGCCTCTTCTTTTTCTGTTCTCAGTTGTTTCCAGATAGATCTGTCCAGATGGTCTAATTTAAGGGTGTATGGCTCTTATTTGGGGGTTGGGAGGAAAGGAGCTAGGGAATCTAGGTTTTTGAGCAGTTGGATTGCATGTTATCTAAAAAAAAATTTTGCATGTTATTTAAAAGCCTGGCACTGCGTGAGATTAGGGCATAATGAGTGGCAATCAATTGGGATCATTTAGAAGTAGATTTGAAACTCATTTTTCCACTTACTAATGATATACTTTCCTTAACTGTTACTTATCTGTAAAAAGTATAACATAGTAATTATCTCTTAAAGTTGTTAACTGGGATTAGAGAGAACATATGAAAGTATGTAGTGTAATGTCTGGCATATAGTAATGCTCATTAAATAGTAGCCACCATAATTGTTGTGATCTAGTTCTTTATGGCTATTGCCTGAGTTTTAGCTTAGATATTTCTGTTGCAGCCTCTGAAATTCTGTTCACTTTGCAGCCCCTGAAATGTTGCTATTTCATGCCCTTACATATTATGTTTGAGACCATCAGTGTTCAACTCAGGATATTTAACTCACTGGACAGATATTCCATGTTTCAGTGGTCTGTCTTTCCCATTTGATTCAACACAAGAGGGTGGGGGGCAGTCAGTATATTAAACTGTGTCTCGTGTCTTCGGTACATTTTTCAGACAGATTGCTCACCACACAGCTAACTGCATGTATGTGGCCTCGGGGGCCTCTTGGTAGGAGACCATCCAGTACTTTGAAGTACCTGCTGCTTTTGGAGGCAGCAGTAGGTTTTCCCTACTTGCCTGAGTATCTCCTGTAGCTCTTGCTGCTTCACGCATCCTGATTTCCTGCCCATGTGCAGAGACTCATACTTTTTAGATTCATTGGTGTAGTTTTTACCCTATTTTGGAGGCCATGTTCTTTCACTCACCAACCTGGTTTTGATTCTCTTTCTGCTCTTGTCATTTTTTTTTTTTTCCTTCCTCCCTGTTTGGGTTCTAGTCTGTCTAGAAATTATTATATTTGAGACTAGTGAGTTCTTTTTTCTAGCAGATGGTCTAGTTTTCACTGGTAGTGAATGTGAACCACCAGGATGATAAAGTGTACATAATTCACACCCATTCAGTCACTAGCACAGCCATGTTGAAAATGAAGGAAGGTACTTGGAGAGCATGTGTATGTCAGTAGCTATTTGGGATTCTGTCCCTGGAGTGTGCTATGTGTATAAGTAGTAGAAATCAAAGAAATATGTTCTAAAACCTACCAATCTTAATTGTAATGGAGTTGTTCTTTATCTTTACAGGGATTTGTGGAACTGACTATATTTCCCACAGTTGCAAACTTGAATAGAATCAGGTTGAGCAGCAAACAGTGTAGAATATACCGAGTAAGGATCAATGATTTAGAAGCTGCTTTTATTTATAATGACCCCACCTTGGAAGTTTGTCACAATGAATCAAAACAGTAAGTTATACACTTTAAAAGTCAATATTTCTAACAGTTTTTTTTTTTTCATATGACTGCATTCATTTCTTTTAAGGTAGAATTTTTTTAAATTATTAAACTCTGGTTCCAAATTTTTTTGTTTTTTCTTTCTAATTTTAATTTCTGTTGCTTTTACTACTCTGCACATTTGGTTCAAGAAATTTTACTAGTTCTCTCCAACAGGAAATTGTTGTTTCCCTTCTTCAGACTATAGAAGTATTATTGGAGAACTTTAAATACATTTTCTTAGCCATTTTTCTACTTTTAATGTTTTTAAAAAAATACTTCATAAATATTAAATGTAATCTTCAATAAGTTAGGTGGTCACCATAATCTGTTGGCCACAGACTACTATAAAATATATTAACTATTTTAGAATGTTATATAAAAATATTGTATCTGAAATAGCTCATTTCTTCACCTTAAATAAATATTGGATCTTTATTCATAAACATATATTGTTGTGATCAGTTTTATATTCTACTTTTTTTATTTAAATACTTTATTTCCACGTATAATCTGATAGGCTTAATTTTTTGTCATTTTTATGGTCAGGTAATATTCCATTTACTCAGTATATTGTAGTTTGCATGATTATTTTCCAGTTATTTGGTATTTGTATAATTTCTAGCTTTTGTGATCACTGCCCTTTGTTTTAGTATTATTGCTTGGAATTAAGTTGTAATAGCTGGAACATTAAACAAGAATTTTCTCTGTACTATTCTACCTTCTGCTTGAATGCTTCCAGCTCTGGAGAGCTTGCTGTATTTTAAAGCACCCCTTTCATTATTTCTAAATGCTAGAAGGTTCTTTATTATGTCAAGCTGCAGTTTGTTTTGTTATAATATTCATAAACTTATCCTAATTAAATATTGTTTTCCCTAAGTATTCTCTTTTCCTGTGTACAGAATATCAGTACTGTCAACCATTCGTCATCTAAAATTCTTTCCAAATCTGTTACCACACTCTTTGCCCTTCTCTGAATGCTCTGTGGTTTGGCATTGTGGTTTCTTAAATGTGATAATCCTAGAACTAGATATAGGTCTTCCTTTTTGGACTAATCTGCACATGCATAGTAGTAGAGCCATTTTGTCCTTATCTATATTTAGTATTTCTAGTAGCTTAAAATTCATTAGCCGTTCACAAATAGCTGCTTTAAGTAGTTCACTCAAGTTTGAGCTTATAATCAGTGAAATCCCCTAGGCTTTTTCATAGAAAAAGGTAGAGTTTTGTCTGAGCAAACTATTTCACGGTCTCATATTAAATGTTGTTTTAGTTATGTTTGAAAAGCCATCTTTATTAATTTTGGGATTGGTTCCATTTTTAGAAAATGGATTTTTCTGTTGGCTGACTTTTTTTTTTTCTGTATGTAAACTATTAAAACTGAAGACAAAAGAAAAAAAAGAAAAACAACTGTTGACAAGGATGTAGAGTAACTAGAACCCTCAAACACTACTAATAGAAATTGAGGTTGAATATATGCATACTCATTGATTGGCAGTCTCACTTCTAGGTATACACCCAGTAGAAACACGTTCATGTGTTCACCAACGAATATGTACAAAAAGGTTCACAGCAGCATTTGTAATAGTCAAAACTGGAAATTACCCAAAGACCCATCAATGGTAAAATAGTAGGTTGTGGTGGATTCTCACACTTGGAATTTTGAACAGGAATGAGAATGAATGACACGTAGTAATACAGATGGATCTCACAAACTTAATGTTGAATAAAAGAAGTCAGACACAAAAGAATATAGTAAGTTGTTAATCTATCACATTAGATGTCAGAATAATGGGTTACCCTTGGTGATGGGGAGTGGGGTTTGGTTAATGATTACAAGAGGGCACAGCAGGACTTCTGGAGGTTGGTGAAGTTCTGTTCTTGCTCTGCCTGCTGGCTACTTTGGTTTTATGAAAATTCATTGAGCTGTATACTTAGAGTATGTATACTTTTCTGATGTGTACTGTGCTTCCATGAAATATTTTATTAGAAAAAAAAGTTTACAAATAATTTAATCTTAACTTTTGCAAAATCTGCACCTATAGTTATAAGAAGCACATATTCTTTATTTGACAAAGAATTAACAGATTATTTTAGTTAATGTGGGTGATTATAATAGGTTCTTAGAGAAAATTCTTTTGATTGCCTTAATTTACTAGTTTTTCAATGCCCCCTACAGCATTACTCGTTTTTCAGCTTTGTTTCCTTGAGGAGGACGGGGGGTTGGGGATGGAAGTGGTTATCCAGCAATATTTTGTAGTCATTATTACTCTGAAAACGCTTATTATAACCTTGCCTTGTAATTTTTGGCATTGATGAGGTTATTATGAAAGACATATTTGATTCATAGTATGAAAGCAGACACTGAAATCCAAACCCTGAGACAATTGTTCCTCATAACTGAGGTCCCAGTAGGTTCCATTTTTAATGACTCACGATTTCATTTGGAGCACTTTACCTTTTCTCAGGAAATGAGGACATTCAGAGAATCATTTCCCATAAAGAAACTGAGCAGCCTAATATGTAATGTTTAAATTTGGTATTTTTGAATTTCATAGATAACTGGGGGAAAACTGCAGGTTCTTCCACTATCAGATTTCATGTTTTTGAAATGTTACTGAAAAGAAATTGAAATCTGTAGATGTACAAAGTAGTTTTTGGTTTTTTTTTTTAAGATTTTATTGGGGAATTGGGGAAAGGGAACAGTGTTGGGGAATTGGGGAAGGGGAACAGCCAAGTTGTCCTTCAATCTTAGTTGTGGAGGGTGCAACTAGCTTAGCTCCAAGTCCAGTCACCATCCGTTGGCAGCTCAGTAGCAGCTCAGGCCCAGCTCACTGGCCCATGTGGGAATCGAACCGGAGACTCTGTTGTTCAGAACTTGCGCTCTTAACCAACTGAGCCACTCGGCCGGCCCACAAAGGAATTTTTAAAATTATATAAAATTACGTTAACTAAGTGCTGGCAGGGATGCAGAACCACTGGCCCTTCCATGTATTGTGTGGCAATGCTCAGCAGTATAGCCTTCCTGGAAAACAGTTTGGCAGATTCTTACACAGCTAAGTATATATTTACCACATGACCCAGGAGTCCCACTCTTGGGCATTTGTACTGCAGAAATGAAAATGAAATTCGCATAAAAACCTATACAGTTGTTCCTAGCAGCTTTATTTGTGATAGCCACAAGCTGCAGACAACCCAGATGTCCTTCAGTGGGTGAATGAGGAAACAATAAACAACTGTGGCACAGAGTATGCAATGGAATACTATTCAGTGTCCAAAATAACAAACTACTGGTACATGTAACACTTCTGATGAATTTCAGAGACACACTTTTGAGCCAGCTTCAAAAGGTTGCATTCTGTGATTCCATTTATTTGACACAAGGCACGTAGCTCAAGAGACTTTTTGGGATGATGGAACTGTTCCATGTCCTGATTGTGGTGATTACACCTGTGTTAAAATTTATAGAATTATATACCAAAGGAAAAAAGAAGTTACTTTTATTGAATGATAAAAACTAGATGGCATGTGAAAACACAGAGCTTTTACACCTTTTATTTTACATATATATCTAACAGTACGAAATTGTTCAAATTATTGAGCAATCTGTTTAACTACTTCCAGAACCTGATGTTGTATAGTTGTTAAAAGCCATAGTTAATATTGATTACATCCTTCTTAGTGGAGAGATGGGGATGGAGGAGTGGTCTCTGTCAAGTTAACAGCGTATAACGTGAATGTTTTCTTTAATGGGATGCCCCTGTAATCACTCTGTAGAGTATATGAAACTTGTTTTTTCACTAGGCTATAAATGGATTAAGCTAGTGAAATGTCACTAACTTTGCTTTGTGGATTCATCTCATGGCAAGGTGATAGACCTGAAGGTGAACGGCAAGAATATGGCTTATGGCCTATCTTTTCATCTTGTTTTCTTGCTCTTGCCATTCCTTGTGTTTCTTCTTTTTCCCATTTCTTCCACATTCCTTTAACTGAGTTCAGTGAGGAAATGTAACGTGTGTGTGTATATACACACATACGTTGTTTGTATGGAATAAAAGTAGAAAATCAGATGAGAACAATGTTTTCATATTTCCGTAAGACTTCTGTGTATTGTTTTCATCCAGTGGGAAATAGAGCCAAGCAACTATTGAACACATATTTATTGCATGCCCCCCGGCATATAGGGGATATAACAGTGAACCAGCCAGAAGTTCCCCTCCTTTATTAAGCTTACATTGTCGTGCACCAGGGAGTGAAGAGGAGCAGTAATACATTTTAAGGACTTGATTCCCATCCAGACATATTTTAAACCTCCTAGTTTCTGTCAGATTATAAACCTTTTTGAATCCATTCAAGTTTTTGCCATATTGGTAAAGAATAATTAATTCTTCAATTTTACATAGATTCTCTACATTTTTATCAGGAAAGTATAGTGTCTTTGGCATTCCCAAATTAATAAAGAATGTGATAATCATAATAATAATCACATAGCTTTGGTGAGTGGACTATATACATATCATGTGTATAGTTTCAAGTTTCTGTCATGGTAGTAGAGTAACAGTTACTTGTATGAAAAGTGTTCTTATGAATTATGTAAGATGATGTAATGTTCACAAACAAATGGTATCAAATATTTAAGAAAATGCTTGGTAAATATATGGCTTTATCGTTAATGTTTTTTCCCCCCTCAGGAGAAACCTCAATTACTTTTCTAATGCTTATGCGGCTGCAGTTAGCGCTGTGGACCCTGACGCAGGAAATGGAGAACTATGCATTAAGGTGCCGTCAGAGTTATGGAAACATGTTGACGGTAAAACACCAAGAATATATTGACTGTACAGTAAAATCGTGTTAGATTCAGTGACGGGAACTTTGAAAATTAATGATGTCAAAATTGTAAGTTAATCAGTTGAACAAGTTGGAAGCTCTTTTTTTTTTTTCCCTTAAGGATCACAGACTAGCAGAAAAATCAGTCAAGGGCTGTGACAAAAAGCAACTCATTTCACTGTTGTTTTTAAAGTGAGAAGTTATTTAAAAAAAAAAAATTAGGATGGGACAGTTTGTCAAGATTGAACCCACACAATGCCAAATCAGTTTAGAATTACAGCATTTTATAGCAGGAAGGATCCTAAAAAAATCATCTGTTTTAATTCCTTCCTTTTACAAGAGTCATCTGAAGTCCAAAGAGCATAAGTGACCTGCTGAAGGTCATTAATTAGTAGGAGAGTCATGGCTAGAACACAGGGCTTCTGACACCCACTCTTGCACACTTTTGAAAATAGTCTTATTATTTCTAAATTTTTACTTTCTCTTGCATAAAGTTATAGCCCTTATAATTATTATATATAACCTTTATTTAGCTTTATAAAAATTAACCAAGATAAGGAAGTAAAAGACTTTTTGTTTTGTTTGTGCGTATTTTTGGTAGTTTTTGTGGAGGGTGTGGATTTTGGGGGGTAGGGGTTTGCACAATTTAAGGGACAGGCGTGGAAGGTCATTGTATGTTCACAGATTAGCGATAGTCCATATGGTTATAATGTTTTGGGCGAAATTAAAAGAAACATCTTTTAATCTTATTTTGAAACACCACATTTATTATGTAGAAATCAAACAAAATAGAAAACACATGCAAAATAGAAATAATGCATAACATAAATTCTTGGGTAGTCTTTCTCATCAACCCCACCTATTCCTTCACCTACTCCCCAAAGTTAACTAGGGTTAACTGTCTGTGGGGAAATGTAATAAGAGAACAAGCTTGAAAAGTAAGTTTTAAATTGGATCTGGAAGGACGTAAGTGTCCTAGGTGCCTAGGTGGGAGTTTTGAGTTTTTTTCCTTTAGGCAGTGTAGCATTGTCAGAAATGTTGACAAGAGGATATGCCATAACTAGAGCTACATTATGGGAGGACGCAGCTAGGAATGACTAGAATTAAGTGGAAGTGAGGACACCAGCGAAGGCAGGCTAGTGAGTTAACACAGGTGGAGAGATGGTGAAAGCCTGAACTTGGTTAAGTAGTGTGGTTTTTATGTAAAACTGAGCCTTTGATTTCCATTTTATGTTCAATGTGAGTCTGTCCTTGTTATATAGTCCGCTGTTACTAAATTATATATTTACATATCAATGTGTGTATTTATTTGTTGCAGAATTAAAGGTCCTAAAGATACACATCAATTTTTCTTTGGATCAGCCAAAAGGAGGTCTTCATTTTGTGGTACCCAGTGTAGAGGGAAGTATGGCAGAGAGAGGTGCTCATGTTTTCTCTTGTGGGTATCAAAATTCCACAAGGTAGATTTTTAATTCTTATATATTTCAGTTCATTTCATTTTAATTGCATTTATATATATATATATATATATATATATATATATATATATACCGTACCTGTATTTAGTGTAAAATGAAAAGTACCAACCTGATTCCCCAAACTTCTACCTCTTCTTAATTGTGTTCTATTTAGTCATTCCTCCTCAGTCTTGTCTTCTTTCTTCTCTGCCCTTTTCAAGTCTACTGTTCTAAAATCATCTCAATTATTTTATTTTTTAAAACTTTACATTGAAGTAAAACAACATATAGAAAATGATACAAGTTGTAAATAGAAAGCTCAATAATACATTTGCTCAAGTAAGCCATGTAATCCACACTCGCATCAAAAAGAAGCACATTACCAGGATCCCAGAGTCCTCTCGCCACCCACTTCCATTCACTGTTTCTCCACCTGTTATTCTCCTGCCCAAGAGCAACCACTATCCTGATTTCTAAAGTACCATAGATTAATTACACCTGTTTTTGAACTTTAAATGGAAACGTATGCATTATGCTGTTTATATCTGGCTTTTTGTTGAACACTATAGTAGTGAGATTTACCTTCATTTTCGTGTATAATTGTAATTCATTCTCATAGCTCTATAGTTCATTACATGTTATTGAAATATTATTTTATAATATACATTCTTTCAGATTATTGACTCCTCCAAGCTAGGGATGATATCTTACACTTTTTTGTGTTTCAGTTCCACGTACAGACCCTGGTACCTAATAAAACCTGACCTTAATTTATAGAAAATTGGATGCAAGTTTCATGTCTGACTTTACCAGCACTGTGTGAATTTATACAATGCATCATACACTCCAAAAAAGCAGTTTCCTAACTTATGGAATAGATTCTGAATATTAATTCTGGTTTTTAAAACTTGTATTATAAGGTTTTTTAGGTTTTGGAAATGAATGCTACATAAAAACTAATGTGAATATACAAGTGAAAATTATTTTAATTTAAAACTAAGAATTACTTACCTCTTTTAATGTTTGAACTAAAGGTACTACATGATATATTTTCTTAATATTACCAAATAATATTTGGAGTCAGGTTTCTGTCTTTAATCAAATTCTTCCAAGTTGCACAATCAGACTTCAACTTCATTAGGCAAATAGTTGACATTTGCTCTTGTATATATTCTATAAATGTTAAAATAACTTAATATGTAGGGAAAACAGTGTAGGTTATACTTTCAACATATTTTCTGTGCTGTTGTCCTTTTTTCTAGATTTTGGTTCCCATGTGTTGACTCATACTCTGAATTATGTACATGGAAATTAGAATTTACGGTGGATGCTGCAATGGTGGCTGTTTCCAATGGAGACTTGGTGGAGACAGTGTACACCCACGATATGAGAAAAAAGACCTTCCATTACATGCTAACTATCCCAACAGCTGCGTCCAATATCTCCTTGGCCATTGGACCCTTTGAAATACTTGTCGATCCATATATGCATGAGGTATGGCTTCTTGCTCCTTTCTCTCCTTTCAGCCTTTTACTCCTGATAAAAAGAAAGATATTAATGAAGTACAAAGTTTTTCTTAACCCTTCTTTTAACTCTCAACAATATCACTAGAGCGAAAAGGTTTTCTTGTCTGATATATTTAATAACATGAATTTCTGAATGAATTCCTTTCAAAAAGTTGTCAGATTAAAATTTGAGACTTTTTTCAAAAGAGGGCTTAGCATTCCAAAAGAGCTTCAAGTATGCCTTGATTAGAGTATAGCTTGATTTCTGTAACGAATTCTATTCATTATTGTCAACTTTTTGTGTGGCATATGTTTATGAATGTTTTTCATTCATCTGTGCAATCTGAAAAAAATGGCGATTTCAAAATGAAAGAGCAAGATTTGTTCTCGTTTCAAAATTAAAGAGCAAGATTTGTTCTTGCTTCAGTATACACCGAGGAAAAGAGAAAAGGCTGAGGCAGGGTTTGAATTCTGGTCAATAAACTCATGAAGGCATCACTCAGTTTCCTCCCACCCCAAATCTTGTGACAAATCATAAATCAGCTAATAGGCTAGGTAATGCTTTAGGCCTCCGCAAGCATTAGACTTTTCTGGTGGTGAAAAAGTAATCCGTTGGTTACTGACCCTCTTGGCTACTGCACACTTTTAAAGTAACATTTGATTGAATCTCTTTTTATTTACTATTGGTCCTTTATGTTTTCAATTCTAGTTATTATTTTTAATATAATATTATATTAGGCTTAGACAGTGATCATGTGTATCTCAACAGCATTTCTTTGAGTTACATGATCAAAAATTTAGGGCAGCCAGACTGAGACTTAGTAAGCTCCTTAGTCTGCTCTTATATTTGCTCTCCTGAAATTCACAAGGTTTTAAACATCACTCATGGAAAATACTGAAGATACTTTGTGAACAGTTTTGCTTTTACTATCTTGACAATGTCTCTTAAATGTATATTCAATGATAAGATTGGCAGTGAATTTTCTTATCTTTGGCAAATGATCAACTTTAAAATCATTTGATGAGTACCTACTTTGTATTTGGAAGAATTTTTTTTCTACTCTGAGCCATTGGATGAAAGAAAGGTAAATAACAGTTAAGCAGTATTTTTCTTGAATAGTTACATATAGCTCATGACATAGCCTCTCTGTCTCAAATAAATAGTTTTAATTTTTACCCCATTAACAGATTTGCTATCACGTAGGTTCTTCTGAAAGTGAATCCTTTTTTTGATGAATGGTAATGTATTTTTTGTTTGTGTACCAAGAGAAGTGCTAATCATGATGCAGTTTGGGCCCTGCCCATTAATAATGCATAGATGTAATCCCGCTCTAATCTGTTCTTTATAATGCTATTAGAAGACTAATTTTTATTGTACATTTAAACTTTCCTTGCCTCCACAGTCCTGCAGTAATCAGAGCTCTTTTGCATGGCTTTCAAGATCTTCTAAAATTTGACCCTAATATTCCTTACTAGCTTTTTTCTAATTACTTTCTTATTTATGTTTGTTGCATTCAATATAGTTTACTTAGGTTTTCCCGGTCAGACTTTATTTCTTCTTATCTCTGACACTGTTTGGGATGTCCTCTTTTCCTCTCCTTACCTATCAAACTTTTTTCAATTCAAAAGGATTAGCTCACGTTCAGTCTCCTGAATGAAACCTGGCCGGGTCATTCTAGTTAATAGCGACCTCTGTTACTGTTGATGCCATTCGTTTGGCACAGAATCATGAGATGGTATGTGATATTTATGTATCGTGTCCAAGGTGTGAGATGTGGCCTACTAAGAAAATCAGAATTACTATTTCTATTGCAGGCATTCCTTATTTCCTAAGTAGCAATAAGCTTTCAATATGTAGTTGAGATAGTAGAGGAGGATGACAGTAAGTTTCCCCTATGTGCAGTAAAGATAGTGTGATTAACATTAGTAATTGTTAAGATGGTACTACGACATGTGTTATATTCACTATGTTAGATATCTGTGAATCAAAGGTAGGTCTATAATAATAAGTTTTGGAAATTTAAGTCTTTCTTGTTTTGTATGCATATGTAGAAGAAATTTTACTTAATTTGGAACCAAACTTTTATTTTCTTTGGATCTAAGCATTTCACAGACTTATAATCCATCGTGAATTTAATTTTTAAGTACAATAAATATTTTGTAAGTATAGTCAGTAGAAGTAATCACTAATTCTACACCAGCATTTTCTTTCAGTACTATGAATTTGTAAAAAAGAAAAAAAAAGGATGTATATGAACATTTATTTATAATCGAGATATTTAGAAAATTTAAAACATTAAAGTTAACTTATTTAATGATCTTCCTCCTTGCTTTTTATTTTCAGGTTACTCATTTTTGTTTACCCCAACTTCTTCCATTGCTTAAGCATACCACGTCATATCTTCATGAAGTTTTTGAATTTTATGAAGAAATTCTTACATGTCGATATCCATACTCCTGTTTTAAGACTGTATTCATTGATGAGGCTTATGTTGAAGTGGCTGCTTATGCTTCCATGAGCATTTTTAGGTTGGTATTTCTTCAAATTTAGATGCTTAAATTAGGGTAATGATCTGAAAACAGGTTATTTTGTGATCAATTTTAAGATGTGTTTTGACCTTTTCTCCTTTAATGGAGATATGGCTGACTTTGTAGAAAATCTAGTGTTTTTAAAATTAAGAAATATAGAAAAGTATAAAGAAGAAAATTTCAGAATAACCCAAAAGACTCATATTCTCTTGATCCAGAATTAACTGATAGTAATATTTTTCATAGTTTAATTTCTTTTCTTATATAATTTTAAAAATCACATAAGTTATTTGTGGATAACTAGTGAGGTTTTTTTCTTAACAGTATTTAAAAATTTAATACTGTCAGAAATTTTCTTGTAAGAAAAATAGAACTTCATTTTTTTTTTTCTTTTCCTTTTTCTACCCTCTTTACCTCCCTCCCATCTTTCCTTCATTCTTGAAAAGTTCCAAATTTAGAAGTTACATGTCTCAGGGTCAGTCATTTTACTCTTTTGGGACCTAAATTTTCTCACCTGCAAAAAGGGTGTAATCTACCTCTGCATTGTCCAGAGAGTTGTTAGAAGGATCTGACGGGTCAATGTATGTGAAAGTAAATAATAGAGCACAAAAAATTAATGGCTATTCGGAAAAGATTTTTGAAATTAGAAGAGCCTTTCATAGGACAAGTTTCTGGTTAATATACCAGTTTCTGATTAATGATGTTTTTCCCCTTTTTACAGAATAGATTTTTTTTTTTAAAGATTTTTATTGGGGAATTGGGGGGATGGGAACAGTGCTGAGGAATTGGGGAAGGGGAACAGACAAGTTGCTGTCGTTTTGTTCACTGGCCCTCATATGTGGGATCCGAACCGGGGCCCTCTGGTGTCCCAAGCGAGTTCTTAACCATCGCGCCACTCGGCCGGCCCCAGAATAGATTTTTGTACTTTTTATGGAAATCACTGGTAAACATTGCAGTCCCTGCTTTAAGCAAAAGTTATGAAGATTATGGATTTCAGCTAAATTTTGAAAAGATGAAAAAGCTCTTTGAGAGAATATTCTGGTTTTTCTTTTTTATGTCTAACTTAAATTTCATGTTTTAAAAGTGTGATTATTTTAATTTGACTCAATTGTTTATTTCTTGGTTACAATGAGCTGTGTCTTCCTTTAATTTCCAGCACAAACCTGCTACACAGTGCCATGATTATAGATGAGACACCTTTGACACGAAGGTGTTTAGCCCAATCCTTGGCCCAGCAGTTTTTTGGATGTTTCATATCCAGAATGTCTTGGTGAGTAATTTCAGTTTACAACCAGTTAAAAAAAAAGGAATCGAGAAATTTTGTTTTTCTTTTCTTTTCCTGTAGTGTAAGCTGACCTTTGTCCTAACTGCAGATAATTAATTTAAAAAACACTAGTCTATATGTATTTAAAGAAAAATAATGAGTATAAATTTCATCCTAAATTTTTGGCCACGAATTCAACATAATTAATTCTGTAATTTGCGATAAGAATAAGGTAAGAATTTTGACAGCAACAATTTCTTTAAAAAAAAAAAAAAGAATACCAAAGGACTTCAGTGTACAGAAAACTATAGTAAGAATTCTAATGTCAGTGTTCAGTATATTTGGTAATGTTCAGGATAACATTTAAGGTAAAATAATGGTTCTCTATAATAGTGATAATGAGTAGTGAAGTTTCCCACTCATGCCTAGCTTTGTATAATTTACCTGAAAGATGTGGGAGATCAGAACACTTTATTTTCTTTTTGATTAACTTGAGATGAATTTGAAGAAATACACAAAACTCCTTTAAAATTATAATTTATAATTGTGACCATTCTGTGCTATAAATAGAATGTGAATATTTTTTTTTCCTTTCTTGTTGGAGGGGAGAGGGCAGAGAGGAAGGCTTTTTGATTTGCAGTTTTCCTAAAACTACATAGTTCCATTAAAGAAAAGTGCCTGGAACATGGTAGGCAAAATGTTGCAGTGAACAAATGAATGAATGGATAAAGATATGAATGAATAAATGAATGGATGGTGTCAATGGCTTTTCCTCTTGAGAAACTGAAAAATAAATTAAGTAGTTAAACTTCAGGTCTTGGAATCCCACTGATAATTATGCATGGGATTGGCAGTAATAGAATATGGACTGTAAGAATTCAGTGGTACAGTCCTGGCTACGGGCAAATATATTTTTAGAGGCAGACAGTGTGGACAGATGTGGACAAGGGAGAAGCAGTAGTGATAGAGTAGAGCACAGACATCGGTACAGCACACTGGAAATAAGACTGTAAAGCAGTCTAATCGTTAAAGGTGAAGCCAGGTGTGAAGAACGTGTAAGGAATGCACAGGTAGAACTCAGCTGGAGGAAGTGAGAAAATCAAATAATTTTTTAGTAACTTTGATTTTCTTTAAGAAGCAGAGAAGCACACACTACACTTGTCCTGTTATCCTATTGGGTTTTTTCTGAAGAATTTTTATGATTAAAAGTTTTTATTTTTACTTTTGGCGTAGGTCTGATGAATGGGTACTGAAGGGAATTTCAGGCTATATTTATGGACTTTGGATGAAGAAAACTTTTGGTGTTAATGAATACCGCCATTGGATTAAAGAGGTAAAAAAAGCTAAGTCCATTATCCACTGAGAAGTCAGTAGGACATTTTAGTGTTCTCCTGATTTCCAACTTTCATGTCTTTTATTTTTAATAATTGTAAAATACTTAATGTCATTTGGAAGTCTCTAATATTTTTTCTAGTAAACTGAGAATCACTTTACTGAGAAAAAGTAATTGTCTATTTTATCTAGTTTCCATTGTCAGTGTTGACCTCCAAACACGTTTTGCTAAGGAAGAGACTACCTAAGGTCCTGAATCACCAAGTTAGTCATTAGATATATCCCAGCTCCTCATAATAGTCATTTTTAATGTATCTTGCTTCCTAAATTTGTTTAGACTGAGAGCCCAGGTTCTGGAGTCAGATTGCTTTTTCGGTCTGCCTCATACATTTACAAGCTCTGTGGCTTTGGTGAATCTTTCTAAGCCTCTTCTGTGTAAGGGAAGTTGTATCAGTGTCTACCCCATGGACGGACTGTAAGACATCATACATATAATGTGCGTGGTCCTTTGTACATAGTAAGTGCTTTATTATGTGCTAGCTAGCCCTTCAGTGCATTTCTGCTCTCTGTCATTGTTACATCTTTTTATGAGTATTTAAAGATTTTGCCCAAAAGAAAAAAATCAACTGTATTTTGCCTAGCCCACCCTGTTCAGGTACATATACATTTTAATCATATCATGCTTAGCTTCTTTCTTCTCAAGTGGGAAAATTTTAGTCTTTACTATGCATATGAAATAGATCCCTCCGTCTTCTCCTTTTTCTCATTTTATATATCTTCATTATCCAAACCTGAACTTAAATAAGCCAAAAGGTAATTGTAAAATATTTTAAACATTTAGAGCTATAAAATAATTTCTACATCTAGAACTGGAAGAGTCCATTCTTCATTTCAAAAATTATGAACAAAGGGGAAAAAATAACATAGCACTTACCATATTTTGGGCACTATTATGAACAGTTTATAAACATTAACTATCTCAATCCTCCTAACTACTCTATTATCCCCATTTTACAGATGAGGAAACTGAGGCACAGAGAGGTTAAATTATTTGGCCAAAGTTACACAGCTAGTAAGTAGTAGAGCCAGGATTTAGACCTGGCTTTTAACCACTTCACTATGATGATGATGATGATTTTTTTTTTTTACCACTTCTCTATTCTGCATACATATTATTTAAACTAGTCATGAATTTCCAGCACAGTTGTAGTGTCTTTTTTCCACTTAAGCTTTTTTTAACTTGGATGTATGTCACGTTAGAGATGAGTAGAGAAGTTTTCAAATGATAGATTCCTAATAGAATTTTATCCCCATTCCTTTACACTTGCCTAAATCCTCCATCAGAAGCAAAATACAGAGAAGCAAGAAATACACTTGGATAACTGGTCAGAGAGGTTGGGAAAAGCTATTGGGGACAGTTGCCAGGCCACTGGCCACCCCTGAAGTTACAAAGTTGAGAAGCCTTTTAGGCTCTGTCAGTCAGCCAGCTGTGGAGCCTGCTTTGTTTATAAGAACATAAACTACTCCCCAAATACATATTATTTATTTCTAGAAATTTGCATTCTAATTCTGGGAAATGAGAAATCACAGTTCATTTTAAATTTGATATGTAAAAAAATTTTCACTGAGGTCTCTATTTTTATATATTTTTAAGGAGCTGGACAAAATAGTGGCATATGAACTGAAAACTGGTGGAGTTTTACTACATCCCATATTTGGTGGAGGAAAAGAGAAGGATAAGTATGTTTATTGTTCAGAGATGATATTATAAACCTTATTTTATGGGATCACTCATTTAGTATCATTTGTATGTGTGTTGAGGCCCACAGAGGCCCAAGTAGTAATAGTAGGTAATAATATTGAGGCCACTCACACTGGTCATCTTCTCATCACTCCTTTCATCACTGTTTTTATTGCAAGTGATGGCTATGAGTAGATTTAAACATTCAAAAAAAAAGACTCTTAAAAATATAATTCTTTTCTTTTTCCCATGTTAATTTCCTTAATGCTACTATATCATACTGTACTCATAAAAGTTTTAAAATAATGAAAACAAGTATTTTGTTTGCATACCACTAATTACTATTTTACGTCTAAGTAGATAATTTCAGCGTTACGGCATCCTACTTATAGCTGTTTATTTGAACCTTTGCTTATCTAGATGCTTATTTACTCTTTCCTTTTTTCTGTGTATTTTCCTCTCTCACCTTCTTTCCCTTCTTTCTCTCACTCTCTCTCTTTTAGCAAGTCACTGTAAAGGAGACAGCTACTTAGAACAAGACAATTGTGCTAGCAGGGATCCTTCTAGGGTCCATGGGTTCCCTAAGGGAACATGGATTGAACTGGATGGGAAATTTTTCTATATTTTCACTAACCATTAACC